TCAACTAAAGATGAGCAACGGGCCGGCACGGCACGGCACGGCCCGAGCCCGGGCCAGGCACGGCCCGATCGGGCTCGGGCCCTTTTGGCCCGCCGGGCCACCGGGCCGTGCCTGAACAGTCCACCGTGCCTGTCGGACGGCCCAGGCACGGTCCGTGGGCCGAATATCGGGCCGTGTCAGCCCGTTGAGCCCGCGGCCCACTGGTCCATCGGGCCAGCCCATAGCCCGTTACACAGTAAACACCATATTTAACAGCACAATCACAGGTTCACATATTCATATTTAACAATCACAGAAACACCAGATGACAAAATATTTGAGCTTTTTATGCAATGCCGCCTCATTAAAAACCATTCTAGGTAAAACTCACACCTCGTGAGATAAAACCCTAGAAAGAAAAATAGTACTAACAGCTCAATAAATTAAAACGGGCCTCCACCGGGCCGGCCGTTGTAAAACGGGCCATGCCGTGCCGCCCGGCGGGCCGAGGCCTCAGCCCAAGCCCGGCCTGCTACGGGCTTCGGGCCGGCATGGGCCCGGTTAGGGTTCGGGCCGTGCCGTGCTCGGGTCGGGCCCAATAACCGTGCTTTGGGCCGGGCCTTTGGCCCACGGGCTGCATGCACATCTTTAGTATCAACTGGTTAAAAGTGTGGAGCCACAATGGCACTTTGGCACTGACATGTCTTTTAGTAGCTTTTTCTGTTTGTTTTCTAGTAGTAGCGGCGAAGTATGTATCATGCTTTGGGTTGGTACGGGTGGGAAAGCACGTTCTCATCCATGTATCTTGTACTCGTGACAAATATGTGAAGAGGCTGAACAAGTTCAGGTAGCGTCGTACAGTACACACACTAAAGAAAGAACGAAAAAAAAGGGTCACGCAGCATCGTACAGTACACACTAGCTAGGTGCATGTCTAGAGCTGGAGACCCTCAAGTTTTTGGTGAACTTTGCAAGGCGAAGATTCTCTTGTCTTCTGAGGTCAAAGGGCAATATTGTATATGCCCTTAGGTTACTAACTAGAGCTACATCTAGCGATACTGAATAGGGCCGTAACTCGATTTTTTTTTGGTGAAAATGACACATTATGCTCCGTTAGATCTTGTTTGGCAACTCTCCTATGAGCTTCAGTTGTCCCAACATTTGCAGTGGATCTCCATGTAGAACGAGATCCTCTGACGTTGGGAGCTCAACGTCTGGGGGCTACAGTCCCCTGACTTTGAATGGCTTTTAACCTTTGGATGCAAAATGGAAAGCTCAGATCTGCTGCTATAGTGCTCGGATAAACAGTAAATCGATGCAGTGTCCATCGAACAGTAGCTGCAGAAATAACTGTTTCGTACTGTATGGTAGACGCAACCTACTGTTCATGTGTGCCGTTGGAGCGGAACCGGTTCCCGCCTGGGACGGCTAGATGGGCTGCTGGTTGGAGTACTAGGCAAAATACGGGAGATTACCTGTCAAAAAAAGGGAGAATACGGAAACAATCGAAAATAGTTTAAACCGTTTTCCTATCATTTCCTTATGTTCGGTTAGTGCTACCGTTTCTATTTTCCAAAAAAAAAAAACAGAAAAACCTTGAAAACGAGCCCCAATTTACTGAAATTTCGGTTTCTGTTTTGTTAGCATCGTTCCAGCATGTAGTACCGTACTAGTAACAAATCTGCTGTTTTTATATCTTGACATAAGGAAACTGAGTTCGATCTTAATTAAATTGGTACACGGAGTTGTAACAGTATGCCACGCCACTTTTTTCATAACAGTTCTCGGGGACTCTCCAGAGTCCCGTGCACAGCGCAAATTGCTTCCTGCGGCAATCGCCCTCACGGCCACAAAACTGAGAACTGAAGGAAAACTTGTTGTCACACTGTCCCGTGTATTATTCCAAGTGTGAAGCAACCACATCAATCAGACTGGTGTGTTCGGCCGGGGCAAGAGCTGGCTATCGCCAAAAACCCTGAACCGACGATAAACGAGCAGCTAGCGTGGCGAATTCTGTAAAGAGCAGAAAGTTCACACTCCATGCCCGGCAATTATTACTAAGCACATCAAACGTACGGCTTATTATTAGTGCGTGCAAGGAGCCAAGAACAAGCCAAGAAAATTTGTGCGACAGGCAAGGCTCCACGGCGGTGATGAATGGTGGCACTCGGCACGCCGCGTCCACAGCATCGTCTCCCGGCGCGTGGTCCACGCGGGGCCGTCGCCGGCGCCGGAGACCATCCACCAGACGACGCGGGACCTGCCCCGCATGTTCGATGTAAAAAATGATGTGCAATGTAAGAAGATCCGGTGGTGTTTTTTGAAAAAAAAGAAGAAGTAATCTAGATCCTGATCTGATGTGATGCGATAAAATGGTCTCAGAGACAAATAGTCAACTCTTACTTTTTAAACTAACTTAGAGCATCTCCGGCAGCTTACCTGGAACCATCACCTTTATTTCATTTTAAATAATACCTCAAACCCACCCTCTGATCATAGGAGACATATCAACCTGTTCGCTTGCTCGTAAACGATCGTAAATTTCTAAGTGGGAACAGTGTTTTTCTCTCACACCAAACCAACCAGCAGTAAATAATCCACGATACGATACGGCCTCCCAAACAGGCGGCTGATGTCCTCCAGTAGATTACCTAAAGCATCTCCCATATACTACCTTTTTCTTCTTTTCCTCAATCTTTCTCGTCCTTCTCCCTTCCTTCCCTCCGCTATGCACCACCGGTCAGAGCTCCTCTGGAGGACTGCCTAGATCTCGCAGCCATGGTGAGACACTGCTATAGTGCATTGGGGGCGAAGCGCATGCCCTTTCTTTAGGTAAGAGGGAAAGAGTTTTTGGGCATGACCCAACAAATTGTAGGTATTGGGGTGAATTGTGATGGGTAATCTACTAGAGCTGCTCCCATCTCTCATATCCAAATTTTCAGGTATTAGGGATGGAATAGGTAAGCCACCGGAGATGCTCTTTCCACAATTAACCGGAGGGTCCTTTTTGGAGCCTCCATAATATCTACGACAAGCGCTAAAAAAAAGATAAATTCTAAAATTCACAAAAAATTCAGAAACATCCAGCCATCAATTTGCTAGGCCCTATAATTATCCTTGATAATAATAGCCCTTTGATCAATATTTTTTTGAAAACTTACTCACCTTTGCCATTATAAAAATGGTCTATAGTAATCCCTTAAATCTATAGGTAAATTATCCACATCTGTGATTATGAAAATTAACGTAAAGTAACCTCTAAATTTTCATCTAATAAATTATGCACGTTTGCCATTTTTAATAAGACCTAAACTAACCACCTAAATCTGTATCCGAATCTCATGCCTCTACCATTATTAGAAAAGTACACAAAAATACTTCTATTTATGCTTCTAAATTAGCCATTTTACTTTTTTATTTAAAATAAATAAACTAACTTAATTAGACATGCATGATATGTGTCATCAAGTGGACCACGTATATATGTAATCATGTATACAAGGGATGTACTGTGCACATTGATTTCAATCGCAAACATATACACACACAGCTCATGCAAAAATTTTGACTAAGCACAACAAATGCTCATAGATGTGCGATATAATGGGAAAATGAATATAAATAAAAACATATAGAGTAATACTAACTAAAATCTATATATCACAATTGAATTATATGTTTTTAGATACTGGAAATTTATTCTGGTCTCTGCAATAAACATGCACTCAACAATACATTATTACAAAGTCTTAGCCGAAACTAGAACAAGTCCAAAGACTAAAGCACAAAGTTTAATAGAGTTTGGCTAAAACAAAAGTTCTCTTCATGATGATAAAATCTAGATTAAGCACACAACCGCGTAGTAGGCATTCACACATGGCTGGCGAAGATCTCTTCATGATTGTTGTTTACAAGATGCAACATGGCATGTCAAAATTAGTCGGATATGGCCTTCTAAGCAAATACCAACACCGGATCCACAGAGTGAAAATAACCTGCATATGTAAATATTGAGTCTATACATGTACCCTACCCTATGCAACTTTCAGCTTATTCGTTTCGGCTGGATTGGCTTATAAGCCATGACTGAAAGTGCTGACTGGTTTGTTTGGTGCGAGAGAAAAATACTGTTCAAGCTATGACTTATAAGCCAGATACGAGCAATCCAGCCTGAACGAACACGCTGTTTATGTGATTGAACTAGTATAATTTTTGCATAATTTTAAAATAATGGTTCGTAAATTATAGCTGTACCTGGCAGCCACCTGAGAATGTGTGAGAGCAATAAATGAACAAGGGAAAGACGGCCTGTTCGGTTAGGGTGAAATTATTATATATGATCTTAAATTTCTAGTTAGAATAATATTTTTTTTTCACATAAATCAGTAAGTAATAATTTTTTACGAACCAGCAATGATACGAACCAGCTAACCGAACTGAGAGAGAGAGAGAGTTCAAACCGCCAACGTTCATGCGTGCATAAAGGGCCAAAATCTGGTGCCCTTGCCGGCTGGGGCCTCCGTGCGGTCGCCAGTCCTACACATGGGTATTGACGGGCATGGGTATGTTGTACAGTTGATGTGGTTTTCTTGTGATATTATATAATGATATTGTATAACGGAAACATAGATAAGAATTTACTAACTATTTCTCCTCAAAAAAGTACATAAAACGTACAGTTGATGTGGTTTTCTTGTCAAGTTTATTTTCTTTTCTCTCGTCTAATAAAAATCCGGCAAAAACTTTTTGCCGTCTTTTGAAAAAAATTAAAAACTGAACCAACAAGTAACAAAAAACACAAAAAGAAAGAATCCAATAATACGAATTTTGAATGCATCCTCTCCAAAGTGACACACACCTGATAAAAAGCCTAAAGTTTCTACTTGACGCGTGAGCGTATTTGTTTATATAAAAAAAGAGTACACGTGTCAACGAACGTGACAAGATCCGGCCAAAAATTTCGTAATGCGCTCCGTGCAGAGGGCAGATTGGCTTGCGGAGACACAAGCCTGACATCGACGTCATCGTGACGGGTCCCGTGGCGGCGCCGGCCACCACCCAGAGTCCTCCCAACTCGCCGTCGGCGACGACGGGTAGCCAGTCCCAGCCCCACCGTCGCTCCCGGAGCCGCTGCCCTGCGGCCACCACTGACGGTGACGTCCCACCGCGCCGCTGCTCTCACCACCTCCTCCGCCTCCAAGGCTGAAGAGCACCGGGAACGACGGCGGCGAAGACGACGAGCCGGAAGCCGCGGTCACTGCGGGCGGCCGGACAGCGCGCGCGGGAGCCGCCGCCACCTGGTCGTAGAGACGCGTTGGTGCCTCGCCGGGGCCCTGCAGGAACCTGGCGTACTCCGAGTACTCCCCGTCGCCGCCCGCCAGCGCCAGCGCCTGCGACTCCAGCAGCGCCTCGGGCCTCTGCGGCGGCGGCAGAGGCAGAGAAGGAGGCGGAGGACGAACCATCGGCGGCGGCGCCGACACGAGCGTGGCGGACTCCGGGAAGTTGACCTTGGCGCGGCTGCCGCGGAACCTCAGCGCGGCCTCGTCGTAGGCCCGCGCGGCGGCCTCCGCGGTGTCGAAGGTGCCCAGCCACACGCGCGCCGCCTTGTGAGGGTCCCGGATCTCCGCCGCCCACTTACCCCACGGCCGCTGCCGCACGCCGCGGTACCGTCGCCGCGGCGTGCCGGCGGAGTCGGTGGAGGACGGCGAGGGCAGCTGCTCGCTCGGCCCCGGTGACGCCGCCGCCGCCGCAGGCGAGTGCTGCGCGGGAATCCCTGCCGCCCCGTGCTCTGCTCCTGAAAACAGAGCAACGACAATATCGCAATTAGTCAATACGAGTACTGACCTGCTCAAAGATTACGTTTTTACTCTCGTCTCCCAATCATAGGAATTACTATCAGTCACAATTCACAGTTCCCAACATACGCACGCAGTTAATTGTTAAAAACAAGAGAGGGACCTGTTCATTCTACCTGCTCTTCTGTTGTAACTTCATAGTATGACTTTACTTATCTCAATGGTCAAGAATATGAATCCGTTTTATTTCTGCACAATTATTAAGTGCGGATGATGCGTGTTGTGTGTGGATGAACTGTCAAGAGCAGTGGATTTTGGTGTGTTAATCAAACGTGGTGCTCAATGGAACAGTTTCACACTAAGCGTCTTATTAAAGCAGAGGAATCTCGAGTGTGTGCATCCGTCCGTCTCTGTTGAACCATCAAGTGAGAAGCACATGCTTGATTGGAAGCATGGGACAATTTGGGTACCCATCTGATGTCATCATATAGTATATTTGATCATGTTTATGTTGACAAATGATTATTTCCTATGGCTGCCCTAGGTACCACGGCAAAGAATGCTGGTAGTGGTGGGAAAGCGAAGTTTCTCTTGTCTTCTGAGCTCACACGTACTATATGGGAAGTAGACACGGCAGAGGGCCGTATCGTATGCCCTAGCGGTTACTATCTAGAGCTACATCTAGCACTACTGATTAGGGCCGTAACTATAATTTTTTTTTTGTTCTCACATTATGCTCTGTTAGATCTTGTTTGGCAACACTCCTGTTAGCTTTAGTTGCCAGAATATTTGCAGTGGATCTCCAAGGCGAAAGTGAAGCTAAAAGAACTAGTGTGACTAGATAGATCCTACTTCATTCTTAGAAGTGAAACGATTCTGTGTTATAGCATCAACGTCAGGTCAAGAAACCGAGGACATCTCGAGAGCCATGCCAAACAGAGTCGTCTCATCTTGATGGATCTGATCAGCGTCCGTGACGGCTGGTAAGCGTGCAGTACTCCACCCGGATGCCGTAGCTGCTACGGTCCTTTTAGCAAGTATGCAGGTCATGCCAACAAATTCCATGACGTGCTGTGCTGTACGTACTACATGTAGCTACCAATTTTTTCCATGCATGCACAACGGGAAGCGAGCATGTAAAGAGCAACCGCAAGGGCTGAGCAGAGTACGGCAAGCGCTGCTCTGTTTTGAGCGAGAGAAGGATCGATCGGTTACCGTGAGCGGCCGGCGTCGTAGGACGAGAGGACGTCGGCGGCGGCGTTACGTCTCCATCGTAGTAGTCGCTCCACCACTGCCCCTCCGACGAGACCTGACCGTGACGGCCACTGACCGGCGCCGGCGCCGCTGCCCCGCCGGCGAGGACCGAGGACAGCGCGTCGACCATCATGGACGCCTCCCGGCTCCGCTCGTACCCCGACAGAATTCGCCACGTGGCCGCCTCCTGCTGCCCGTCGTCGTCGTCCTCCTCGCCGGAGAGCCGCGGCGGCGGCCCTCCTCCTCCTCCTCCTCCTCCCTCCGCGTTCGCCACCCTGGGCGTGCAACGACAATATGGCTTGTGCTTCCCTCCTCTCGTCTCGTCTGGAGTGGACGACCAGCGCCATGTATGTTTATATATAGGCGGCGCATGGGCACGTGTCCGGCCCTGGAATTTCCACGGCGTTTTGCTTCTTCTTTTTTCCTGTGCCGAAAGGCAGCTCAGCCGTTTTGCGTACAGTGAGCAAGCAGTAGCACAGACGAGGTGCAATGCATTCGGCCACGCACGGCACGGCGCACGAAGCATCCTTTCCATCAGCTTTCGGCTCGGTTTGTTCGTTTCCTTCGTCCGTACGGCAAATTCAAACGTACGGGTCGGTCTGCAGGAGCTGGATGGTTTCCAGCTGCAAGTTCGTTTCATCCAGACGGACGCCTCTGTTTGACGCTGTGGAGTGAGAACGTCTAGAATCAAGGTTACGGTGCGATCAGTATTTTTTTTTTGTTGGTTCATAAAAATGATAGAGTATGTACATGAGTAAAATAAAACGGAGGAGAATTCGGGAGCAAATTGGTTGCGAATATATTAAACTGGAATTCAATTGTTCGCGGTGTTTCGGTGCGTTCACACACGGCCGACGACGCATGGTTGACCACCACAAATTGGTCTGACCACACCTCCACAATTGTGCGCGTCCAGTGCCCCGTTTGCTTGCCTAACAAGCATAGTTGAAAGTACCGTTAGCTAATCTGTTGTGAGAGAAAAATACTATTTATTGATTGAAAAAGTATGACTTCTAAACCAAACGAACGGGAAGCGGATTATTGGTTGCGGTGCTACTGTGACTGATTACCGGTGGCGGTCGCTGTAATAAACTAATAATAACACTCGTACTTGCAGTAATACTCCTACAGTAATTACATACCCGTTCTCCGCCGCGACGAACCGCCGAGAAAGCTGTAGCGAAATCCGAATAGGCTGTTGCCTTGTCCCAACGCGTTTTCCTCAGGACCAAGCCTCATTTATTTATACAACTACTACTGCTACTACACGTGCGTTAAAAGAGTCTGGTGCGGTGCTGACGTCCACGGTCTACCACTAGTGTACTAGACAGCTAGTCTTGCCTCTCTTGCTGGTGGACACTTGGCAGCAAGTAGAGTCTTCTCCATTCTTCTCCAATTAGGCAAAACACAAATATCATAGCTTTAGTGTGTGTGTGTGTTTTCCTATGCACCAGTATTGCACAGCGTTTGTAAACCACGCATTCCTTATTTTAGAAAGGAACTTGAATACTAAATACTCCTAGCATAATCAGTGGCTTCACAATATATATGGAGTCACACTCCCCACCTCTAGGACATAGAACAGTTCCCTCGATGTTCTCTAAACCACACATCCAATTATCCATCGATGATTACGACCTGTACAATTTCACATATACCATTTCATATTCCGGGGATCATTCGTGCTTCCATTCTTCTCTAATGACCTCACCACCTTCTACAACACTATTACCAAAAGTATTTTCAGTGCCCGACGTTTTTATAGAGCTAGGCAGACCAACCACGTAGATTAAATGCTATATGTTATCAGGTCTTTTACAGATACGGCCTATCCACATCTATAAATCGTTGGAGTCGCCGGTATCTCTTATTACTATTTAGGTCTTGTTTGGATATTATCGTATTCATCTTAATTACATGTGTTGGGATGGACTGGGGGTGAAAAATTTAGTTTAAGTTTCACTCTAATCCATCCTAGCATATGTGAATTGATGGGAATCCGATTACATCCGAACAAAACCTTAATAGGGTCGTAAATGGTACATATATTTTCTGACGGACTGATCGACCGAAGATGCTAGTGTGTCAAAAAAAAAAAAAACTCCAGTAGGATGGACAGTGTGTCAAGAATGGATGGGTTTCTGCCTTTTGAATTTGGTTAATTATCCGGAATCCAGTAGCTAGTCTGCCGCCAGCAGTAGTGCCGACATACATGTTACAAGATTATCCCGTTTCTTTTGCAATGTTGGGCCAAGAGGCCTAATCGTGCCGCTTCATTGCTTCTTTACTTTTTATTTCGTAATTTATTAACTTAATTTTTCCTTGTAATTAATGCCACGAACACTCTTCTCTTGATATGGAACAATTTTTTTTATGAAGCTAGAATACTTTTATTTTACCGTGAAGCTAGAATACTTTTATTTTACCGTGAAGCTAGAATACTTCTATTTTATTGTGACGCTAGAATATTTTCTTGTGAAGCCAAACCATTTTTGCTTTTCACGTGAAGCTAAAATATTTTTGCTTTTCACGTGAAGCCAAACCATTTTTGAAACCGACCTGATTGCACGCTATTAACTACTCCTAGCTAGCAGTACCCCGAACGCATCTTCTACACTAAAATTTAGGAGGTATCACATCGGGTGTCACGTAGTGTTCGGATACTAATCATAAAACTAATTACAGAAGCCGTGACTAATTCGCGAGACGAATCTATTAAGCCTAATTAACCTATCATTAGCGTATGTTAATGTAGCACCATATTGTTAAATTATGTACTAATTAAGCTTAATAGATTCGTCTCACAAATTAGTCTTAATCTATGCAATTAGTTTTGTAATTAGTCAATATTTAATACTCTAAATTAGGATTAAACTTTAGGAGATGGGAACCAAACACCCCCTTGGTAGTATAAATCATGCATTATATTACTTGTCATGTCTGAATTTGGAGTAGTCAAACACATGGAGACATTGCAATCATGCGTCGGTTGAGCCATCAAGCTCCATTGACGTACTCTCAGGTCACGTTTTGAAAAGTTGAAAGAAATTTGGGAAACCTAGCAAACAAACATCACGTGCAGATCGACACGCATGCGTACTCTCTAGAGCCTACATGTGAGTAGAGTAGAGTATACGTCATTGTGGTGTCGTAAGAAGAGCAAATTTATTGACTAGCTGTAGTCATATTATCACGAAGAAAGCTCTAGGAGACTTGGTCATGTTAGATTAGTCCACGTATATAGATAGCTTGAGTTCACTGGACGCCCAGGGGTGGATCCACTCGTAAGCCTGATTTCTGCCTTAAATCAGTGTTACTTAGCTTTAAATCACTATTAATGTTTAGCTTAGCACTAAATCTTCATTATTTAGCCTCGTTTATTCCTGTCCTGGATCCGCCCCGTGGACGCCATAATATAGAAACTTAGAAAAGCAATAGTAAAGTTGGGTCCAGTATGGTCCTCATGTCAAGCCTTGAACTTTCGATTGGCATTTACTGTATAATCTATCCTCCCAGTTGACTAGATTGTTGTAACATCAAGGGAGGAGCGCTAATGGAAATGGGACAGAGATGGCTAAGCGTGTCGATCGTAAATTTGTTAATGGAAAGAAAGTGTAACAACTCGGATTTTAGAGAAGCAAAAATACTGAACTTTTGAAATTTTTTCCTGCAATATGTGAAGCATGTAAATGCTAGGTCAAACACGAGTCCAACTCGCTAACAAGAAGTTGCATACATGTAGATGGTTTGTAGGTGATTGTCGGAGTTTTCGAGTTGTCTTGTGTTTGAGCCTCGTTTTTGTTGGAGAGCACAACCCATAGCAACCTCTTTGTGATCCTCGCGGGATTATTTCGAGTCTTCTATGAATCTCTCTCTATAATCCCGAACTCCACTAGAACCCGGACTTGCCATTTATATTTATGTCAACCATTGGACCGGAGTCCCTAAACCCTAAGACCCCTAGTAGACCATCACGATGAGTAAGCATGTTGTTAATACATGCGGGTACACACATATAAGACATAGGAGTAGGAGAACAAAGGAAAAGACCCTCTTCTCTAGTCGCCAGTGGAAATCATCTGGAGCCCCCTCTTGGAGCTCACATCTCAAGTGCCATCAATACCCCTTTCTTGAAATTCCTATTCAAACTCCATGCAGATCTCCCCGAATTTCCCCCCAAATTCTTCCTTCGAGTTTTTCCAAATATCCCCTGAAAAATTCCCATCCGAACACTCGTGGAAATTTCGTCTTGAGTTCATATGAATCTCTCCGAAAGATTCCTCGAACACCGCCTTATATTTCATCTTGGAAATCCTTCTCAAGATGTGATGAATTCTTCTCAAAACCAAATTCAAAACCATTTAAACTTAAATTGGAGAATCTATTTCCTTATCTCTCTTCTCTCCCCTCACACCTTGGCCCGGCCTAGCACTCCCTCTCTTCCCCTTCTTTCTGCACCGGCCCAGCAAGCTACAGGAGCCCAACCGAGCCCCCCTCTCCTTGCCCAGCCTGGCCTCTTGCCTTCAGCCCACGCAGGCAGCAGCAGCAGCCCAACAACCCCGGCCCGTCTCGCACCCCACAGGCCCACGAGCACGAGCCTGCTGGCCCAGTCGGAAGCTGCCCCAACCCAAGCCCTAGCGAGGCAGAGCTCCTAAGCGCCGCCGCCCAGCTCGCATGCCAGCCCCCCACCACCAGTGCCTCACCTGCTCCGCTCCTCGATTCGCGCCACGTGTACCTCCCCGGGCACGGACGCCGAGGATGGCTGGAGTGCAGTGCTATAAAAGGCCGCCACAGCGCCACCCCTTTCTCCTCCCTTTCTCAGTCGCCGCCGCCATCCCTCTCCCTCTTCCTCCGTGCGAGCAGCCACCTTCCGACGTGCCACCAGTTGCCTCGCCACCGCAAGACCCTACTCCACAATGCCGTGCCCCGCATCTCGCCGGAGAGCACGCCAAGCCAGAGCCATTGCCGAAGCCACGGCGCGCCATGACGCCATGCTCCCCCCCGCCCGACGAGCAGCGCCGTCCGGACTGACGCGCCCGAGGCACCGTCCTCCGTCTCCTCGCCCAAGCCTGCATCGCGTCGACATGTGTGGCCACAACACCGGCCTCGCCACGTCGCTCGACGCTCATGGCCACGCTGAGCCTGTCCGCCACCGCGCGTCTGCCTCTCGTCCGTGAGCACCATCTCGCCCTTGCGTTCGTGTTGTCCTCGACATCGTTCATGGCCGCATCTCCACGAGCGTGTCCGCGACAACCACCGCAGGCCGAGCCCGAGGACCCTGCAACGTCCACGTAGCTGCACCACCTCGTCGACGTCCACCTCGAGCCTCTGCTCTGCGCCTCATCCT